CACATCTGGCTAATTTTTGTAGTTTTTGGTAAAGATGGGATTTCACCAGGGTAATCTTTGGTCAGGGTGGTCTCTAACTCCTGGCCTCAAGTGATATGCCTGTTTCACCCTCTTAAAGTGCTGGATTACAGATGTGACCCACCATACCCAGCCTGGATAATTTTTCTCATTCTCCGTTTGTTTCCTCTTTATCATGCATTTCTTCACTTTCTTCATCATAATCATCATCTTCTTCAACAGCTGCTGCAGTAAATATAACACTGATTTTGGGATTATAAACCATTTTCACAGTGTACAGCAAATACAGCTTCAGAAGCATCATCCAGAACTGCATTCTCAGAACTTCAAGCAGGGCAGAAAAAAATTAAAGAAAGAGTTCTCAGAAGCTGTTTTATTCCCATCAGAAACTGTCCCACATTCCTTGTGTTTCTGTTTCTTAAAGGTTTTTATTCCTTTTTTCCCAGTCCATCTGGCCGCCTGTAGAACCCATAATTTCTGGCCTATCAAAAGAAAAATGATCAGAGTCATCTGGTTTTGACCTCATACTATTTGTCTTTGTCAACACTTCATTTGTGAAATATTCAGGGTTCAAAGTGAAATTCTAAGACAAAACTCATAGGTTGGCTAGCATCTGAGAACTTCACTTTAATATCTTTGAAGTGCTTCAAAATAGGTTCGTGATGTTCCCAAACCATATCATTAAGCAAGTCCAAAATTTAGGAATTCCTTTGGGGTCTTTGTTTTCTTCATTCACTTTTTTCATCTTCAACCTTGGCCTTTCTTTCAGCTTTGAATTTCAGCTGAAATTCTGTTTTCTTTATCTGCTTTCAATTCACATATTTCTTCCATAGGTTCATGAATTGCATTAATAATATCAAATCACATATCAAATAGAGGTTGAGAGGGAGTAGCATACTTCCTTTCAGGATCATAAACTTCCTCATAGAATTTGGCCTCTGTGCACATTGAAGTTGCAGGTTTTTGAGAGTATTGACTCATCTTTTAACTACTCTAGGCAAGCTTTCAGTGTATCCTGTTGATCTTTCTACCAGACCATAAAGTCTTTCTCTAAAGCCTGTAAGAATCTGAGGATTTTCCATCATCTGAACAAATCTGCTTTGATTTTTGTCTCTTCACCAGTTTCTTTTCTTTCTTTCTTTCTTTTTTTTTTTTTTTTTTGGGACGGAGTCTTGCTCTGTCACCCAGGCTGGAGTGCAGTGGCCGGATCTCAGCTCACTGCAAGCTCCGCCTCCCGGGTTTACGCCATTCTCCTGCCTCAGCCTCCCGAGTAGCTGGGACTACAGGCGCCCGACACCTCGCCCGGCTATTTTTTTGTATTTTTTTAGTAGAGACGGGGTTTCACCGTGTTAGCCGGGATCGTCTCTCGATCTCCTGACCTCGTGATCCGCCCATCTCGGCCTCCCAAAGTGCTGGGATTACAGGCTTGAGCCACCGCGCCCGGCCAACCAGTTTCTTTTCTTTTCTTTTTTCTTGAAAAGGAGTCTCACTCTGTTGCCCAGGCTGGAATGCAGTGGCACAATCTCAGCTCACTGCAACCTCTGCCTCCTGGGTTATAGCAATTCTCTGCCTCAGCCCCCCGACTAGCTGGGACTACAGACATGCACCATCACACCTAATTTTTATATTTTTAGTAGAGACAGGGTTTCACCATGTTGGCCAGGCTAGTCTTGAATTTGTGATCCACCCTCTTTGTCCCAAAGAGCTGGGATTACAGGCATGAAGCACCACAGCCAGCCCCAAATCTTGTCCAAGATGAGACTCTTCTTTGTTGTCAATGTCTGCCATGTAAGAACTCTGACATGAAATCCCTCATTTCTGTTTTAGTTATTTTGGTGGATGAAAATGGCATATTTGTGCATTCTCTGGAAATGTTATAACAAAGACACTCCGTGTAACTATTATTACATTTTAACTCACAAATTCTTTCTCAAGAGTCTGGTCTGAGGGTCCCCATACTGTTTCAAGGGGAATTTCAAAACTATTTCCAGGCTGAGTGCGGTGGCTCAGGCCTGTAATCCCAGCACTTCGGTAGGCAGAGGTGGGCAGATCACAAGGAGATTGAGGCCATCTTGGCTAACACAGTGAAACCTTGTCTCTGCTAAAACTACAAAAAAAATTGGCTGGGCGTGGTGGCGGGCACCTGTAGTTCCAGCTACTCGGGAGGCTGAGGCAGCAGAATGGAGTGAACCTGGGAAGTGGAGCTGGCAGTGAGCCGAGATCGCGCCACTGCACTCCAGCTTGGGCGACAAAGTGAGACTCCTCAAAACAACAACAACAAAAAACTATTTCCATATAACTATAAATACTGCCTTTTGCATTCTTATTTTTCCGCAGGTGTACAGTGGAATTTTCTGGAGGCTACATGACGTGATAAGAAAACAGACTGAAAAAGGGAATACATCTATAAAGAGAAAATTGCTATCACTGTTTTTGGTTGGGAAAATTTGTATGAGCTAAACATGTTATTCTTTTCATAATCAAACATTCTTCTCATAAGTGTTGGTTCTGTACCATTCCTCAAAGGTGGTAATTTTTTGAAATATGTTATTGTAGATTCATGATTTTGGATACATTGAATGGTTAAGTGCATTTCTATAACGTGTTATTATGATACTCATTATTAGTCAGTACAAGCCTCTTCAAACTGGATCACAACATTTTTTGACACACCCTAGTAATGATGTATTTTGCATGTGAGAAATAAGATGCATTTGAGCGACCAGAGGGTATTCTGGGCTGAAATGGGTCCTTCCCCAAATTATAACTCCAAGTACCTCCAACTGTGCCTGCATTTGCAGAGAGGTAATTAAGGTAAAATGAAGTAATATGGGTGATCTCTAATTCAATACTAGTGTCCTTACAAGAGAGTCAGACATAGACACAGGGTGAAGATCAGGTGAAGACAATGATATGGCTGCCATCACTAAAAGTCAACTAGAAAGGCCTTGGAATAAATCAAACCTATCAATACTTTGACCTTGGACTTGGGGCTTCTGACATTGTGAGAAAATGAATTTCTGTTGATTAAACCACTCAGTGTGGGATTTCCTCATGGCCGCCATAGCAGCCGAATACACTTAGTTCTATAAAACTTTTTGAGATTTTTTAAGATACGATGTCTTTAAATTTTGGTTCCATAAAGCTTTTTGAGACATTTTAGATAACATGCTTTTAAATTTTGGTATATGAATGAATGCTGTACTATTGAAGTGTCTCTGCTTTCTCAAAAACTACTATAATCTTTCTTTTGTAAATTCCTTCTTAGTAATGGAAAGAAAAATTCAGTTTTTTTTTTTCTTCATCTTCTTTTGGAAAAAGACATAAAGACATTGTACTGTCTCTTGCTTATGCAATTGTAGCTACTTTATTGAAACCATGATCTTTGTGAGCTGGTTACTTTCAAAGCTGAGACACATTAGCAACTCTGAACAACAGGTACATTTTATCAGTAATAAAAGCTTATTTGCTTTGCAGCCAGTTATTTTGTATTCACAATATACTTTTGAAATATTATCTCATCATTGTCCTTGTATAAATTTTCCCTCTGTTGTGTCTGAGAAAATAAAAAGATGTAATATAGTTGACTTCATCTGTGGAGTCATTTATAATCTTTCTTGGACTGTAATAAAGACTCTTCTTATATGACAACTACAATTAGACCATCCTTTCCTTGTCTCTTAAGAAAAGTTAACATTATGAATGAAAAGTAGTGTCAAAAGCTGTTTAAACTTTCATTATCTAAACTACCTCTGATCTTTTAGATTAGGAAACATCTTTTTTTCCTTTATATTCCTTAGCTGTTCTTTCTGAAGTGCTTTATATATTGGTAATTTTTGATAATAATGGGATTTTTGATTAGCATAGAAGTATTAACAATGTTTACCTTTTTTGTGTTCTGACCATGCTGCTTACAGTTGAGTGGATGATATGAGATCCCATTCTTGACATATCATAGCATTAAATGAAGGTCTTTGGGAAATATTTGATTTACAGCTGTAATCCCAGTGCTTTGGGAGACCATGGCTGTTACACTGAACTGGAGAGTTCAAAGCCGAGTGAACTATGAAGGGGCTACTGCACTCCAGCCTGGGTGGCAAGAGCCAGGTACTCTCTCTAAAAACTTTATCAGTATTTTGAAGTTATGTTAATTATGTATGAAATTAGGCTAGTTCTTCACTGAAAGACATTGTAAAAATACTTCTTTCCACAAAATACATTGTCTTAACTTGATGAAATTTTCTCAAACAAGATTTACATTTATTTATTTATTTAAATATAGGATCTTGCTCTGTCATAAAGGCTGGAGTGTGGTGTCACAATCATAGCCCAACTGGGCTTAAGCCTCCCCACAGCTGGGACTACAGGCGTGTACCAACACACCCAGCTCTTTTCAGTTTTTTTTGTACAGATGTATCTCCCTGTTTTCCAGGCTTGTCTCCAACTCTCAGTTGAGCACAAGCTGATTTTATCTCAGCCTTCCAAAGTGTTTTGGAATTACAGGGGTGAGCTGCCTCTCATTTATCATGTTTGAAACAAAATGTAACCACTTGAGAAAAAAAGGTCAAACCAATGGTTTGAAAAGAGAATTGCTATCCAGCCACTAATCTCATTATACCAACTATGTACCATTGGTTTTTCTTTTGTAAAGCATTTTATGACTTTTAGGTGTCTCAGGTAAGGACAAGATGATTTCTGTGAGTTTTAAAAATCGGTATGCTAGAAAACTGAAATACTTAGCCTCTACATTTAGAGGTTACTGGCTCTGGCCTGCAGGCTGCAGTGCAGTGGCTTGATCACAGCTGTCGGCCTGTATCTTCTGGCCTCAAGCGATACTCCAGCCTTGGCCTCCCAAAGCGCTCGGAGGTGAGCCACGGCGATAGGCATATTTAACTTTTTAGTAGCAGCTTTCAAACACAGTCCGAGTCCCAAGTTTAATAGGAAGTTAGCGCGCATAAAACCGTAATGAAAACACATACACGTTTTTGTAGTTTATCAGTACAAGCTGTTTAATCAAATGCATTTTAAAGGTTTTTTAAACTTTAAGAGGATAATTTTGTAAGAAAACAATCCCCAAACCAATTGTTAGTTTACACTTACTAACGAATGTGCATAATTCATTGTTTATGAGAAAATTACACAAAACTGACCTTTCAAGGATGCCAAAAGATGAAACATTGCAATAGAGAACGTATACTAAACATTACAGACCTTGGTCAAAATACCTACGTTAACATAAAAAACTCAAATGGCTTAGTAATTGATTTAGGATAACCCTCCCCTCCTCTTGCCTGCACACTGGTAAGTCCATTTACTTTTTTCTTTTAATTTTTAAATCGAACGTAGGAGCCAGTGGGGGATGCTGTCTGTATCTGTATCTCTGCATCTGCTTTCCTCCTCAACCCTAGGAATAAAGAAAACACATTTACTGCGTGCGGGGGGTCTAAGGACAAGCAAACAATGAGAGCTGTTGCCTTGGCTAGGACTGGCGCGGAGAGGCAATAGGTCTCGGGGAGGCCTGGGGCAGGGTGTGGGAGATTAGGAATCCGAGGTCCACCGGAGATGGCAGGGGGTGGCCTGGCCGGTGCGGGGCCGCTTGCCTGTACGCCACCGACTGAGGCGGTGGCGCGCGAGTAGTGGTGACGGCGGGCGGGAGCGCGGAAGAAAAGAACGTTGTGACGGAAACTCCGGCTGCCGGAGACCCCACCGCAGTGAGGTCACTGGACTCCCCAGTCTCGGGGCGTGACCGGCGGCGACCCGGGGCGCCGGGAGGCCCACCGGGCGGAGGGGGCCCAACTACCATCCCGCATATTCCTGGGTCTCTCTCCCGGGCGGTGACGTGACGTGCTGACGGCGGGCCTGTGCCGGGGAGCTGGGCCGCTTTTTGTCAGCTCCGAGCTCGGCCCCTCCTCCCTCCCTCCGCCCGCCCTACCAGCCGGAGCCCGGCCCAGTGCTCCAGAGAAAGGCCGGCCTGCAGCACCCGCCGCTGTCGCCGGCGGCCCGCAAGTCCGTCGGGTGAGTCCCGCGTGCCCCCGCGGCCGCGGGGCCTAGTGCGCGCGCAGTAACTTGCTCGTGGCCTGGTCGGCGTCCCGTAGGGCGCCCTCCCGCGCTAGGCCGGCCGGCGTGGCGCTCGGCGCCGAACAGGCCCCGAGGAGGCCGCAGTTAGGCCTGGGAATAATTCGGCCGCCCTGAGAGGATGCGGAGGTGCGCTCCGTAAGCGGGCAGGGGTGGGAAAAGGTCGCCTGTTTGTTCGGAAGGCGGTTGGTGGACCTGGGGTCGAACCACTGCAGACCCAGGGCGCGGCACGGGGGCGAGGCCTGGCGAGGAGGCGAAGGCTGCAGGCGTGAGGTGAAGGCCGGAGGCCTGCTGGGCCTATTTTCGCTATGTAAATGTCCGCGAAGGGGAGGAGGGACCGGGGGCAAGATGGCGGATAGTAGGCGCCTGCTGCTGGGGAGTATTGAAAGTGTTGTCGGGAGGCGGAGCCGCCATTTTGAAGGCGGTATCTGGAAAAGAATTCCGTTATGATCCTTGAGCCGGGGATGGGGAAAAGGGCGGCCGCGGCGGCGGCTGCGGCCGCCCAGATTCCGGCGCGACGGCGTGTCTGCGCGACGGGGCGTGCTCGTTCCCTTGGCGGCCTTTGCCTTTGTCGCCATGCGCGCGCTTACATTCCAGACTCCTGCAGCAGCGCCACCTCTCGGCCTTCCCCTCACAGCCGGTCCCTGGCTGGAGGCTGTGTCGGCTACGCTTTAGCTGACATGCTGCAGACGTCTGTTCGGGTGCCGGAGTCGCAGCGCTCCCTGCTCTGTGTCTTTCCCAGAGTCTATAGCACCCTACTGGGCAGGTGGCACTTAGGGCACCTGGGCTCACGAGAGCACATAAATTCCAGAAAATTTTATTTTCTCCTAATTAAAGTCATTATGTGGCTGTTCGGGGACCTTCCATGCGCTTATTTTGCAACCATCATTGCCTCCTCGAGGATCTGAAAAATATCAATGGGATTTATTATAAAAAAAGTTATTAGACATCATTCGATAGACAGTACAGTACAAATTATATAGCACGAGGGCAGAGGAATAAAATTTTAAGGCGACTTCTCTCATTTATGTGGAAAAACTTTTGATGAGCTGTATTTAAACGAGCTTTTTAGTCTGGATACTTTTTTTTGAGTAAGAGATGGAAAATAGGCAGAAGAGGTATTTTTCTCTTTGAAGGACAATACATTACTTGTAGGTTCATATACCCATGATGACATTGAGATTTTATTTGAAATTTCTTATACAGTTTCATCTTCAAAAGACTTGTTAGCATTTTGTGCAACTTTGCTGGCAAATTGGAGCACAGTAGCGTGAGCGTTGGACAGTGCTAGGTACTAAGAAAGATTTAAAAGGCGCTTAATGCAGAACGTGACTGCAAAAAGTTTGCTGTGGGCATTTCACAGGAAGGCGAGGTTTCAGGTTGCAAAATTGGGAAAGGATTCCTGAAGTAGATAATGGGGTTTAGCTAGGGTTACTGAGGGATGAGTAGGATTTTCTTAGGTAGGGTGGGAGTAGGAGAGGTCATTACAAGAATGAAATGTCTGTAGAAAATGGCAAATATTTACGGTTTGGCTGGAGTGTGTAATATAGATAGGAAAGGGATACAAATTTAGGCTGTAAAAGATAGATTCTGAAATGCGTTCGTGGCACACCTGAGATTATGCTGAGCTCTGGCTGCAGCTGTTAGAACAGTTTCAAGGCTGAGAAGCATTGAGGGCTAGTAGTAAATTGGTGTTTCCGTTACCGGATAGATGATCAAGAATGTAGCTATTTTTTGGCCGGATGTGGTGACTCATGCCTGTAATCCCAGCACTTTGGGAGGCCGAGGCGACGAGGTCAGGAGATCGAAACCATCCTAGCTAAGACGGTGAAACCCCCTCTCTACTAAAAATACAAAAAATTAGCAGGGCGTGGTGGCGGGCGCCTGTAGTCCCAGCTACTTGGGAGGCTGAGGCAGGAGAATGGCGTGAACGCGGGAGGCGGAGCTTGTAGTGAGCCTGGATCGCGCCACTGCACTCCAGCCTGGGCGACAGAGCGAGACTCTGTCTCAAAAAAAAACAAAAACAAAAACAAAAAACAAAACAAAAAAAAAACCAGTTGTCAGAAATGCAGTAGCCTTCAGATGGCTGTATGCAAACATTGCCCTTCTTGGTGAAGGTAATCCTCTGATGAAAATAGTCTTCAGGTGAGCAAGCTTTAAAATTGGCAGTTCACTTTATATGTGAGGGTCCTAGATGCAGTAGTTTCAGAGAACATGTACAGCACTTGTTTCCTAGACTTTTACAATTTATAAAAGGCAGGTTTTCAGTTTTCCCAGACTTTAGCATATCAGAGCTCTGATGATTCAAAGAAGTCTGAAGGAAACTAGAGATTGATGGTTTACAAAAGTGTGGCAGTGTATTGCAGGAGGTAGTCAAAGGAAAAAAAAAATTTTTTTTTTGTTTTGTTTTGAGAGAGAGACTGGCTCTGTCGCCCAGACTGGAGTGCAGTGGCGCGATCTCGGCTCACTGCAAGCTCTGCCTCCAGATTCACACCATTCTCCTGCCTCAGCCTCCCCAGGAGGTGGAACCACAGGAGCCCGCCACCACACCCGGCTAATTTTTTTGTATATTTAGTAGAAACGGGGTTTCACCATGTTAGCCAGGATGGTCTCGATCTGCTGACGTCGCGATCCACCCATCTCGGCCTCCCGAAGTAGTGGGATTACAGGCGTGAGCCACCGCGCCCGGCCATCAAAGCAAATTTTTAATGCAATCTAGTTGTTGACTTGCTAAGGGCCAACATAAACTGTAGAGGTAGTTGCTTTATATCTTGACAACTGAAGAGCTGTAAAGAAGATAGAATTGTATCTTGTACAGTACAGCAGTTGTAGATGTTCCAGTACATCAGCAATGGATGTGCAAAAAGAAGACAGGCAAGTGCATAGTTTTAAAGGATTTATAAGGAAATTGTTAAGTAAAAAGTACTTTTTTGCCTGATGGGATAGACCTTGACGATCTGTTAGTCTTTTTTTTTTTTTTTTTTTTTTTTTTTTTTTTGAGACAGTCTCGTTCTGTCACCCGGCCTAGAGTGCATTGTTGCTATCTCAGCTCACTGCAACCTCTGCCTCCTGGGTTCAAGCGATTCTCCTGCCTTAGCCTTCGAAGTAGCTGGAACTACAGGTGTGTGCCACCATACCCAGCTAATTTTTAATTTTTGTAGTTTTAGTAGAAATGGAGTTTCACCATGTTGGCCAGGCTGGTCTCAACCTCCAAACCTCAGATGATCCACCTGCCTTGGCTTCCTAAAGTGGTAGGATTACAGGCGTGAACCACTGTGCCGGACTTCTGCTAGCCAATTATCTTGGATAAATGAGTTGTTAGTTTTTAATTTATGTGTATTTTTTAAATAGATGCCCCCCTTTTTTTTTTAAAGCATACAGTGCTTATATATATATATATATATATATATAAATAACTCTGACTCTGTTTACATTTGTATTGTCACTAATTGCTACCTTTGAATTGTTGCATTTATGCGTTCTGGCAATTGCAAACTTTTTTTAGATTCTTAAGTTCTTCAATGCCAGCATATTATTTTGTTACTGAATTGAGAAAGATAGATGACCATATGATGCAAATGTTTGATCTCATTCATTTCATACTTTTGCTTTAGTTCTTCCTTCACTTTACTTTCTTTTGTTGGGAGAAGTGTTGCTTTCAAAGTTCATTTTCTCTGTTTACCCTTTCCTTACTCTCTGCCTGCCCCTTTCTATAAATATTCATAGATATGCTTATTTTACAAAAAGCGTATCTGTCTTCTCTTTAGTTTCACTAGTACTTTTATTTCTATTCTTCCCACTTCTAAATCTGGTATTTCTCAACATGTGAAACTGTTCCACAGCAGGTAATTGGTGTGTCACCTGAAAGTGTACTGCATTTCAGAAACTCTCTGTCCTTTCTTTGTCTGCTCTGGTCATTTTCCTAACCTAAATGTGGAATTTAACTTGAGATTAATTACTCGTTTTCTCCAAACTTCTTCCCTGGCATCCCTGTCTCTTATTCTCACTCATCAAATTTCTCATCTAGCATTTACAGTTACTTACTGAACACCTCCATCCTGACCTTTTATTAACAGTCCATATTCAATATTGCTGAAACCAAATTTATCTGGCACAGAGTAGGTGCCCAGTAATGTGCATTGAACCTCTTTTGCCCTAGAGTCCCTAAAATAATTCCTGCTTTTTGCTATCTTCCTTTTCCAGACACTACCGTTTTACCAGGCTTTCTTTCATCCTTGTCACTTAGAGCAGTGTAGATATCTTTAATTAACATTTAATCTATTGTATTCTAAATGTAGGTTTATACTTTTGTTTTCATCCCTAACTTTTGAAGCCCTTAATTATAGTAGATAGTTTCTTACCTTGATTTGTTCCGCTAACAGAATGATCTGGCAGATAAACATTATTTCAAAAAAATCATTTGAAATAATTTAATGCAGAGATTTATATGGAGTTGAATGGCCCTCCAATTGAAGTTAAGGAGCCAAATAGTGTTCTTGAATTGTGTAAGTATTGAGTGTTCATTTTTTGAAGGCAGCAGATGAAAACAGGATTCTCAGGAACATGTTTCCACCATTGCTTTAACCATCTACCTTGGCTGACAGCCCATTCTTTTTCTTACTAAATTGTTTTAAACATAGTATTTTAATAAATATGGCGCTCTTATTTAGCTGTAAAATGTAATAAAGGAGAGTAACTAGATTTTAACCAAATTTTGCTTAATTGAAAGAGGAATTTTAATCTAGGAAAGGCACAAAGGAATCTAGGAGAGACACAAAGGAATCTACGTCAATGACTTTAAAAAATTAACAGTTAATATATTAAACATGTAAATTATAAAATCTTTTGTCCTTAGTAGGCAAGTATAAATCTGTTGTAACAGATTGTAACAAATGTTACAGTCTTTCACACTTGTTTCATTTTTTTTTTTTTAATTTAAAGAAATGGAATTGTGCAGGTCATTTTAAAGAGTTGCCTTCAGTGCTTCTCAATCCTGCTTCTTTTTCCCCAGACTGGTTTCCTTGTATGTGTTATAACTTCAGGAAGTTATCATAGAGTATGTGTCATTTTGTGTATTTTTTATCACTCAACAGTGAGTTTTTGAGTTTCTTTCATGTTATCTGTGGATCTAATGTTTTAGTTAGCAAAAGTTGGTCTAGGAACCCATGGGGATCTTTGGCACCTTTTCAGATGTCTGTGAGAGAAAAACAATTTTTAAAAAAATACCAAGAAGTAATTTACCTTTTTTACTCTTATTAGCCCATGAATGTAGTGTACAGTAGAGTTTTCAAGAGTTTCACATGTTTCAGAAAGTTGAATGCAGAAGCAGATAGAGGAATCCATCTGTTTTATTTTAAGCCAGGTATTAAAAAGATTAACATAAAAATTTATAATTTGGAAAGTACTTTTAATAGTGTTATTTATCTTAATATTAATGGTTTATTAGTTTTAAGTGAACAAACATAAATAAACTTTTCCTAAAATTAGTAGGCACTACCTTTTAAAATGGTATATGTTGATAATAAAACCTGCTTAAACAAAAGCTCTTTTAGGACTCTCAAATTTTTTAATTGTGAAGGAGTCCTAAGGTGAAAAAGTTTGGGAAATCATTAATCTGAATTTATATTCTATTATAGTTTATACATATGCTGTGGCCTGTTTATTCATTACTGGGAACCAATTAGGTTTTCAGTCTTTTCCAATTTTGAAACAATGTAGCTTTGAACATCTTTGTACATGATTAACTTCTCTTGGGTTTAAGTGGAAGTGGTAATCTGAAGTGCATGTGCATTTGTCAGCTGTACTGGAATTGCCAAATTCTTTCCACATTGGTTGTATCTAGTTGATACTAAGTTTTCTGTCAGAGTGTTTCTCCATATCATTACCTTTTTTTTTTTGAGAGGG